AAAAAAAAAAAAAAAAAAAAAAATCAATTAATGGCATCCACCATCTACTACATTAAAGTATTCTCAGACCAGAATTCCATGTATTCCAAAGTAATCTTTTATTCAGGAAAGTTTTATGCTGCATCTACTTTTCAAAAAAAACTGGAGATAATGAGACAATCTCAATGATTTAAGGCCTCACAGACTAAAAGAGCCCTACTCCATCTTTTCTGTTTCCCTAACCACACCTACAGTCTCATACTGGCTTCTTTCAGATCCTTTATTAAGTCCCAGGCATGCTTATGTCTGTCTTTGCTTAATCTGCATTCTCCATCCAGAACACATTTGAAAATTTGAGGCCCTCCTTCTCTCCAAACAAACAAACAAAAAAAATAAATTAAGAAAAAAAAATCTGAGCCCAGTATTGGGTGACTAGTGTGAGAGTTGAAAAGCTGTGCAGTAATAATAATAGAAGGCTTTATATGTATTCCAAGGAGTTTAATCCTAAAGGCATTAAGAGGAAGGATCTACTGAAGTACCTAAGAAAGGAAAACAGGATCAGCTCACCTCATCAACACACAGGAGTGACTCATCCCAGACACTAATTTCTCCCTAAGGACTAATACAGCCACACCACTTCTCCTTCCTTTAAATCTCTTGTGGCCAGGTACCGTGGCTCACACCTGTAATCCCAACATTTTGGGGACCAAGGTGAAAGGACTGTTTGAGGCCAGAGGTTCAAGATTAGCCTAGGCAACATAGCAAGACCCCATCTCTACAGAAAACAAAGCACAAAAATAAACAAAAAATTAGCCAGGCATGGAGGTGTGCACCTGTAGTCCCAGCTACATGGGAGGATGGCTTGAACCTGGGATTGGGGCTGTAGTGAGCTGAGATCGTGTCACTGCATTCCAGCCTGGATGACAAATCGAGATATTGTCTCTGAAAACTCACCAGACTGGGCACATGGCTCAAGCCTGTAATCCCAGAACTTTGGGAGGTCAAGGCGGGCGGATCACCTGAGGTTGGGAGTTTGAAACCAGCCTGACCAACATGGAGAAACCCCATCTCTACTAAAAATGCGAAATTAGTAAAGCATGGTGGCGCATGCCTGTAATCCCAGCTACTCGGGAGTCTGAGGCAGGATAATCGTTTGAACCTAGGAGGTGGAGCCTGCAGTGAGCCGAGATGGTGCCATTGCACTCCAGCCTGGGCAGAAAGAGCAAAACTCCATCTCAAAAAACAAAACAAAACAAAAAAAAAACCCAAAAAACAAAAACCCACCCAAACCAAAAAACTCTTTTGTACTTTAATTATGCTTATCCATCTGATTGTAGGGATAAGAAAAGCCTCTGCATAGGCTCACTGTGACAAAGTATAAGCCCCAAGGAACTGAAAAAGGTTAAGTGTGGCTAGAGATATACTGTGTCTTCTCTCTTTTAGTGTATTGCTTAAGCTGCTCCTTCGAAGCAAAAAAGGAAACCTTCCCTACCCTTATACCCCTCTCCCACATTACTGTTTGGTATTCTTGTCCTCACTGGGTCTCAAAACTGTAATTCACCACGAGCTTCACTTTCTCTTCTCCCGTACTTTTTGAAACATGCTGCAATCTGGTATCATCCCCAAATGAACATTACTTCTGCCAAAGTTGCCACTGGTCACTTAGAAGTATATTTTGGTCCTTATTTTGCCTCACTTCTCTGCAGCATTCCATGCTGCCTACCTCCACACCTTTTTTGTTCTCTTCTATCATATTTAATTTATGGGATCCCGCTCACTCCTGGTTTGCCTCCAGCTTCTCTGGCTGTTTGCTTTTCTCAGCCTCATCTCTTCAGCCTCCTTCCCTACCTGCTTCCTGCAAATGCTGAAGTTCTTTAGGGTCCCCACCTTTCACATTCTTTTTGCTTCAATCTGCAAACACTCTCTAGGGGACTCCTCCATACCCAACACTTTGTCTTCCCACTTTTCACTCTCCTGCCCATTATTGCTTTCAGTTAATAGTCCACTACTCACAGAGTTACTTTAGTGTCATCCTTAATTCTCCTCCTTTCATTTCATCAGTTCTCAGTTCTGCTCAATGCCACCTCCTTAGTAACTCTTTATTCTTCAGGCGTTGGCTTATCCAATTACCACTTGTCACCTAGATCACGGCCAGGGCCTCCTAAATGGTCTCCCTGCCTCCATCTTGACCAATTCAAGGCTATTCTCTATTGCTCAGTGCAGGGTGAACCAGTCATCATATCATTCATCTTCTTTTTTTTTTTTTTTTTTTTTTTTTTTTTGAGACGG